AGATAGAAATATTCTTATATTTTTTTATGAGAAGAATAAAATTTTCTCTTTTATTATCTATTTTTTTAAAAATGAAATTATAAAGTAATAGTAGATATTCCTAGAATATTTTAAAAAATTTCAATTCTTGCTTCTTCAAAAAGAAGTAGCAGTTCATTTATTCACAGCAAAATATCCTTTTAAGATCTACTATCATATATTAACAAAACATATAGGGCGAGGGGGCATTGTAACTATGTACGTGAATTATTTTGAGTTTTTACTGTAAATTGATTTTTTTTTATTAATCAAATATGCCTAGAAGACTAAGTATAGAAGTACAATGGTTTTTTTTTCTGTTATTAATTTGTCATTTTTGTTTTTAACAGGATACAAAGGTATTTTTAATTTTTTTTAGAACAATAAAATACATTCATTGCTTCTAAAAGCAAAAATCAAATAATTGATTTCTAGGGGTTTTATTGAGATTTCACATTTTTTGCAGTAAAATTAATAACACAACTTTGGAATCGAATTTAACACGGGCTTGCTTGGGGGGGCTTTTTTAGATTTTCACTTTGACTTTTATGTTATAACCAGATTAGTAAAAGGATAAATTGCTATTTTGCATTAATTAAAAATTATTAAGTTTTTAAAATTGCTAGATGCATGTCATGCACGCGGTCGTGTATAAAAGCATTTCTTCATGCTTTAATGGCATGTATGATGTCCTTTAGTGGTGAAAGATTATCTTCTATCATAAAATTTCTTATAATATCCTCTCTTTTTTTTTATTGCCGGTGAGTGTTTAGTGTTTTTGGATGAATATCAACTGGATTTTTTTTTTATTCTCTTTCTTTCCTTGAAATTCTCCTATGGCAATTGAAATTTCAGGACGGTCCTTTGTTAGAGATATTTGAGTGTCAATTTTTATTTTATTTTTTGTTATTTTTATCTTGATTTGTTTTTGTTTTTCAATTTCATTATTAAATCTAAAATTTTGTGTTTTATTTTTCATATTGGGTTATGGTTCTTTTTTTTTTTTATAAACTTTTAATTATTTTCAATTCCATCATTTAATCAAAATGTTTAATTTGTTATTTTTTTATTCCTTTGTAAACTTGAGTTTTCTTTTCAACTTAGTCATTCAATCTAAAATTATCCACCCTTAAAAAAGTTGATCTTCTTTTTTCTATTGTTATTTTATATTTTTTTATAATTTAATTTTTTAATTTTATTATTTAACATTTAATATTTTAAGATTTGAGTTTTATAGTTTTTACCGGTTTGACACTTTTAATAAAATGATTCGGTTTATAAATTTTATCTTTTTTACGGAATTATTTTTCATTTTTTTTTAGATTAACGTGGGTGTCCGGACTAGCTTGCGCGCACCACGACTAATCCCACGGGCCTTGAAGTTAACGACCATGTAAGCCTCCAGTGGCCATCATATGAGCAACCAAGGATTTGAACCTGAGACCATAAAGGAAGCAAACTCTTTAATCCCAGGTCTTCACCACTTAACCACCACCATCTAGATATTAATTATTTTCCTTTTTGATCTTATTGCTCAGTGATAATTTTTTAAAAAGATATTTTTTATATTTTTTCGTAAAGTTATCCTCAACATAGGATTGTGACTTCCGTAGTTTAACGTAGATAGACTCTTTCTTTTTTTTTTGGCTTCGAGTATATGATCTTTTCCATCTGTCTTTCTCAATTTCTAAAGTACATATTCCTGTACTATATAAACCAGCGGCAGTGGACAAGAGAAACAAGGCGGTGGCAGAAATACCATCGGAGATCATTATTGATATTATTGTACGACTACCCATCATCAAGGGCATTATCAACTGTTCAAGCGTTTGCAAAGTTTGGTGCAGTCTGATCTTCGACCAGCCTTATTTTGCCGACATGCTGTTACGATTCAAGTTACCATGGAATTAAGGTTACTAGCTTACCAATAAAGAATGCAAGCCTCCAGTACTGCTTCCAGTACAAAATATAATTGCTAGCCTTCAAGCAAAGAATTACAGCATGTGCTGAACGTGAAAAACATGGAGAGCATGATTATTAGTTAGGAGGTAGTTAGTTGTTTAGTTAGTTAGTAGTCAGTGGTTGATTAAAAGGGTTAAATAAGTTGTAATTGGAGAGAAAACCATTGTATATAAACTTGTGTATGGAATGTGTTGGAGAACAAGAAAATATAGAGGATTAATCTCATTTCTATGCTCCTTCTACTCCGCTCTCTATTGTTTCTATTCTTTTTTAATTTCTATTATCTATTCTTTCTCAATCTTGTTAAATTTAGCGTAACAATTGATATCAGAGCTCTAAGATCCAATCAAGATGGTGGAAATCACAAATTAAAAAATATGAAAGAACACTGCAAGAAATTGAAGTAACAAATGCATAATCTTCAGCAAGAATTTCAAGAATCTTTGGTTGATTAGCAAAATAAATGGCAAGAACAGTTTGGGGAGCAAACCAAGAGGGCCGATCAGATTAGTTTGCAGATTGAAACCTTATCAAAACAATTCCAAACATTTCTTGCTAATAAAATGATAGGAAAGGATTGTGGAATCCAGGGGAATATTGAATATACCAACAATGGATAATCAAGAAGGAATGCTACCAAGAGGAAGGTGTCACATTCGAGGAGAGCAAACCAATAGTCAGGAACATCAAAGAGTTGTGTATAATCCATCTTTTCCAAGGACAGATCTTGCATCATTTTGGGGTGAAATCCTTGTGGATGGTTGAGGAAGTGTAGGAAGTTTTTTAAACTCAATTCAACTCCTTCACAATAATGAGTGGAAATGGCCTCTCTTTACTTGGAAGGTAAAGCAGAAATTTGGTTTGAAGGTTATATGTGTGGTGTGGAATGTTCATTGGGTTGGGAAGAATCTCGGAAGCCATATGCAACAGGTTTGGTAGTAGGGCTGATATAGTAGAGGAGTTTAACAAGCTAATGCAAGACGGTGATGCTGATGAATATGTGGAGATGTTTGAGCAGTTAAAGTCACTAATGCATTCATTGAATCCTTCATTGCCTGAGTCCTTGAAGGAAGAGATTAAACGGATGCTAAAGATTCTCAAGCCTACTACCTTGATATAGGCCTTTGATCAGGCGAAATGGTAGGAAAAATCAATTATCGCAGTTGCAAAAAAAAGCATAATTACTTCTAATATTAGTTCTTTAGTTAACATTGAAAGACCAACACGTATTACACCCCATAAACCTTTCAACCAAGATAACGTTGATGAGCAATATAGTCCAAAACAATCTAAAAACACACTTTATGAACTGAGAAGGAAACTTGGATTATGCTTTAAATGTAGTGATAAATTTCTACTCAGACATAAATGTAATGTTAAGGGGATTCATTTGATTGAGGGAAGGGAGGATGAAAAAGAGAAATTCTTAGAATCGAAAGAGGGTTGTTCTTATGAGATTGGTTAAATGATATCACGTATTCATAAAAAAGCAACATAGGAAGACCTAGAAGGAATTGAGCATGTAGTTTCCAGATTTTGTTATGGATTCTTGAGGTCAGGAATCTTTTCAAGGAAGGGTATTGTTACGATTCAAGTTACCAAGGAATTAAGGTTACTAGCTTACAAATAAAAAATGTAACCCTCCAGTACTGCTTCCAGTACAGAACAGAATTGCTAGCTTTCAATTAAAGAATTGTGTCATATGCTAATGTGAAAAACATGAAGAGTATGACTATTAGTTAGGAGGTAGTTAGTTGTTGAGTTAGTTAGTAGTTGAATAAAGGGGTTAAATCAGATGTAATTGGAGAGAAAACAATTATATATAAATTGGTGTATGGAAACCTGTTGGAGAACAAGAAACTACAGAAGATTAATCTGATTTCTCTGCTCTTTCTCAATTTCTGTTACCTGTTCTTTCTATTCTTTCTCAATGTTGTTAAGCTGAGCTTAACAAATGCATCTAAGAAGGTCTTCTTCACACGAGACCCTATGCTTTTCATTGCTTGTAAGTTGTATGATGGTGTTAGTAATTTTACAGCAGATCGCTATAGATTGCTGGTAGAGTTACCGAATAACAAAACTATCCTTACTCAATGAAGCCTCTATAAAACCAACATGGATATTTGGAACGACAACAGTAACCTCCGCAAATGGTTGTTACCTTCAGTGGGTTCGTACAACAGATTGCACTGTTTCTATGAAAAACTCTGTCCTGATACTTATCTATGGTATCCAATCCGGAGAGCGTTTGTTGTTCTCCCCAAAGCCGAGGAAAATACATGTACCCCACAAGTTTGTGGATATGGATATTGCAGAGACAAACCAGCACAAGGTTTTACGTATTATGGAAAAGCCAAGATCATGGAGAAGAATAGGATTTGTTCCTTATTCGTCCTATGATTATGTATTCTTGGTCACTTTCAATGGAGTTACGTATTGGATTGTTGCTTACACCGAAATTCGTTTTGATCAGATTTTTCTTTTAGAATCCGTAAACAGCAAAATCGACGAATTTCCTACGATCCCAACTTGTAACTTCAGAACTGCTCCATCGACCTTGCTAGTTGTTCAAGATTGCCTGGTTGTATGCCATCAAGGGTCCTCGGACGATGGACATCTTAACATATGGTTAGTGAAGGATTATAACGGTAATGAGGCTTGGACTCGAAGTTGTTGCATCAGCAAAGCTTACAGAAGGTCTATTAGAATCTTTATGGCTTGCACCAAGAGAACTTTCGAGATTTTATTCATAGCAAGGAGCATCACCAGAAGCTTAGGATTAACTGCGTTGTCGGCTCGTTTACAAATTAAATTGGAACAGGCAATCACTTTCCAAGCTTTATTTCTCCTGCGGATGTTAAGAAGGTAAAAAGCTTCACAAGAAGCTGAGGATCCATGTGCTAGGTCACTACTAAATACGCTACGTAAAGAAATGATGGAAATTGGGTAGCCCTAGACGAAGACTAATGCGCTGGTGTGGTAGTAATTAAATAATCCATGAATGAAGCAAAGGCGAAGGCTAAATAAACACAACCATGTATTAACTGCAATAATTAGGAGCAAGATTTGAAATGTGTAAAGCATCTACTGTGGGAACATGGAATATTCTTTGCCTATTCGGGCAAAACCTAAACTATATATCTTTACACCATGATGACAGTTATACTTCACGGTTATTCACGTTCTGAATGGTTCAGACTCCTTAGAAATGGAATGAGGGCTAAGGTTTGTAATATGCAGGGAATGGTACTCAAGAAGTTATGCTCAACAAAGCTCCAGATACGCTATTGATGTGAGCAGTTGAGGTGCACCTTAGTTACTGTAGCACACCTTTTTCTTGTCCCGGAAGCAAAGAATAATAAGCCCATCCAACAGAAAAGAGATATAATAACTCTTCACTGTGCCTTTGCAATGGTTCGGCTGGATGTACCATGCAACAACTTGACAAATCCATGGAAGCTTAGCTTCCCATCAGCATGACTTATCCAGTCATTGAGAATAGCATGAACCGGGATGGAGGGGGCCACCATGAGTGACCAAGCAAGGTACAATCAACATCCATCTAATAATCACCATGGAAGGTGTCGGTTGGACCACCCCTACACATGGTAGCCAAAAATGTGATGCACAACGCAATCATGGTAGCTAAATGCACGGTCTGGGGTTTCCCCACAAGGCTACACTTTATTATCTTCTCTGCATGCAATGCTGTGACCAATTCACCATATCAGACATGTTGAACATCTAGCTCTGAACTGTTTACTACTATATTACAGACTTTGATTTGATTTATGTATTCACTGATTGGACAACAGAATCGTGTGAACGCTACTCAAAATCTAACATGGACAAATGAAGATGTTTGATTTGCTCTTCGACCTATTAAGGGGGAACTGATCTCACCACTCTCGGCCACCCTACAAGGCCATGATTTGTACAGTACAAAATGTAATTGGATTATTCAGCTCTAAAGCACAATCCACAAAAACTAGCATTATATAATATGCTCAACCAGTCACTATAGATCATTACTGAAAAATAAAAAAAAAACAAGAAAACTAGTTGTTAAGGATCCATATAAAGCCATGTTGCTGCTGCCTGCATAAACACCGACCACGGCCCAAAGAATTTAACTACAACATGGATATCTACAGCACATTCCAGTTGCCAGTTGCCAGTTGCCAATTGATTGAAAATCTGGATCAAGCTATCCATCTTTATCTCCTCAAGGTATCAAGATAGAAGAAAGATTTTTCTGCATTTCTTGAAAACCAAAGAAAGTTGTCGCCCATGCAGCTCGAGTAACCAACATTAGTAATGTTGTCGATAATCACACTAGCATTCTATCAAAAGTCTTTGCAGATGATCTTTGTTTAAATTTTTAACCAAGATAGACATTCGGATCTTCTTCATCAGAATCAAATTCCACCTGCAAGAAATCAAAAGCATAAATACGCTGGCTGTACATGAATCAACAGAAGAAGGAAAAGGCCTTGTTATTTGAATTGTCTGATGATGCAATTTTTATGAACAGACTCAAAATTTCTACACCAACATAGATGATGCGGAAGCAGAAACCAGTAATCACTACCGTAGCAATAAAATGTCAAAGTGTTTCATCAAAAAAAGGATACTCACATTTTCATCTCTAAACCATCTTCCATGGCAATCACGCTTCCAACCCGCTTCAGTGAACTTCAGCTCCCTCTCTCGCCGCTCCCTAAAATCCAAGTGCTGTTGCACAGGCGTCTTCTCAGATGCTATTACTTCCAGACATGAGCTGTTTTCGCAGATTTTGGTCACAACATTCATAATATTTACATATCCCACGCTCAATTTCAGATCACAGTTTTGATTTTTGGAACTCAACTGGGCAGTTCCCCTGCCAAGTATCTCGGTAGCAGCCCTCTTTGTCTTTTCAATCAATGGCTTACTCACTAACTTGGTATTTTTGTTCAAAGCACTTGGATTAGCAAGCATAACATCAGATTCTGATAACGCTAATCTTTTATTAATCTCACTTTGTCTCATCAATTCTTTTTCCTTCAGCTTGGACGCCGCAGCAATATGTCGGGATCCCTTACAATGCATCTACAAAATAAAACACATTTGAACAATCTGTTGGAATTAATTATGAAATCTTCATTTAAAGTGTCTCCTAGGATATATGTATCTAACAATTAAATCAAACAATTAAAGATGTATATATCTTTTAAATCTCTTGAATTATCCTAGAATAGTATAAATATATATGTTTAGAGTATTATATAGGAATTCCTCTCTTAGAAGAGTAATATATTATATGAAAGAGATTTGTTTTCGCCATGCTTCCCTTCCTACCTTCTCCCCTACTTATTTCTAAAATGATATCAAAGCTAGTTTGATTTAATGAGAGTGGATGGACAAGTGACATCAAAAGAAGAAAAAATAAAGGTGCAAGAATTGTACACAACAAGAGAATTGGGACTAAGAGATAGAAGAAGCATAAGAAAGAGGTTTAGTGCAAGCAGACAACTTCTTGCACAAGAGATGATGTGGCACTAATACACACGACAAAGAGACGAGAGAACCCTTCTTACAATAGATGGAAAATGGCCAAAGAGCTGACAAAAAATATTACAGCAGCCATAAGAGGAGAAAAATGACTTGGATGAACCATGTTTAAGCAAATAAAATTGCTAAAGAGAGGAAGGTTGAAGAGATAGCAATGAGATGCCATTAGCAAGTCTTGACTTCATCATCTTACAACACATTTCAAATTTTAAAACTTCTCCTAGGTATATACATGTAACTATTAAAGATTTATTTATAAGTCTCTTTAATTATTCTAGACTAATATAAATATATGTGTTCAAAGTGTTGTATTTAAATTCAAATCCACTAGGACTTCCTCTCTTAGTAGAGTAATGTATTTTATAAAAGAGATTTGTTTTCACCATACTTCCCTTCCTACTTTCTCCCCTACTTAATTCTAATACAATCAGATAATCGATATTTACAATAACAGAAAACCCTTCCCAAACAACCTCAAATGGATACAAATCAGAATTCAGTTCTGTATTTAGTCTTTCTAGGGTTTGGGGTTTGGTAATAGTAAGTTTTTGTATCCCATTTGATTCTTTTACATAAAAACACAAGTGGGGTTTCTCTCTTTTTAATTTATTTCGATTCAGTGATTGCAGGTAATGAATGCTACAGAGCAAGAAATCTGAAAATTGAAGAAAAAGATAAGAGGGCATCTGGTGCGTACAGAGAGCGCGAGGGGAGATTCGAGGACGGGATTGTGAGGGCAAACAAGACATGCGTATTTCCCACTAGATAGCTTCTTGTGAGAAGACCCATCAAGTCCGTCTATCACAAGATCATCAACTCTTCTTTTCCTGTATTGTGCTTCTCTTGCCCAGCTATCACCACCGAAAACACTCATCACTTCTTGTTCTTTATTTTGCCGTTAAAACTCACTCTTTCTACGTAATCCAATTTTTCCTTGAACACAAGATTGGCACTGTCGTAGCCCTTTCGGCCACAAGTCTTCCCTTATGTTTGTTTCTTTCTCAGGCCTTAACTGTATGCTATGGAGCCCAAGTCTCCAAACAGGAGAGGGAAAAGAAAAGAATTTGAGACAGTAAATAAATAAATAAATAAATAAATGGAGGATATTATAGATTTTGTATGTTGACTTTTATATTTGTTTTTTCTATTCAACTGTTCATACTTTTATCTTTAATATTTTAATTTTTAATTTTTTTAATTAATTTTTTTTATTAGATTTTGTGAAATATATGATAATAAATTGATAAATTGACATGCTAACATGCGAGTTAATTATCCACAAACGATCACCTAATTTCTAATCAAATATTTATATATTTATGTTTTTTTGTGCTTCTATATATTTTTATTTTTATTTTTTGAGTTTTTTATTTTTAAAAAATTTAAAAATTGATTACTTTTAATTTTAAACGCATTAACTATCTACTTTACATTCTCATATAGGCTATTCATTATCAAGTCAAGTAAAAAATAATAATATCAATTTATTCAAATTAAAATAAATATAAAAAAACAACTTATCCAAATAAAAAATAAGATTAACTCCATCTCCATAATTTTCTAACAAATAAAACAAGTCTCCATTTCTAATTTTTAAAAGGTTAGATATAATAGTTATTTTTAAAAAAATTATGTGTTTTTATTAGGTTTTTCTGGCTAAATATTAAAATAAATACATATTAAAAATTAAAAGAAAAATATTAGGGTGTTTTAGATAAATATACCTTTTGTTTATGGGCTGGACTGATTGACCCTAAAACCTAAGCTGAATAAGGCCCAACAATTTCTTTTTGTTTTTTTATATAGAGAAGATGGGCTGATCTAAGGGTCCTGCCCATCTCTCTTTGCTTGCAAAGAGAGGCAGCAGGACGTTAACTCACGTTCTGCATGCTTCACAAAGGAAAAAACAAAATGCAAGCTACTGAGAAGGAAGATTACCTGGCGCAAGGGGTGGTTGCTGCTAGTGGCGCTGGAGGCTGGCGTAGCTGAGAAGAAGACCCTGCTGCTCACAGTGCTTCTGCTGCTGGTCACGGTGGCTGCTGCACAAGCTGCTGAAACCCACTGCCGCTGTTGAGAAGAGTATTGCGTATCAGGCGTCTATGTGAGATGAATGGAATGTCTTTTATGCAGTAACAGAGCATTCTATGAACACATACAAAGGCTGCAATGTTGTAGCAGTTTCCTCCGAAGGAGTGGCACAACCAGATGTCATTCTGCAAGTCGTACATATCAAGCATTAATCCTCTAACGCCATTCTGCAAGAGAAAACTACTTTTAAGTATACGTCAATTAAAAAAAGAAAAAGCCATGGATAAACAACTGCATAATAGACCAGATCCATGGAGAAAAAGAAAATATTGGCATTAGTCGAGCGATTGTGATCTAACAAGCTAAAACACCTCCTTACTATAATGTTCCTCAGCGGCTTCGACTATATATCCGATTATTCCAATCAACGAGCCACAGTAATTCGAAAAGCTTTAGTTATATGATCATAAAAAATAAATGTGATCCACAATTCTTTTACTTTTCAATTTCTGTTATTCTAGCCACCAAAAAGATTAGGAACAGATTACAAAGAGTTCTTGGTTTAATTGCTCAATCATCTGTTTCATAACACATCTGCCAGACAATTATACCTTTGCAAAACACGTTGGCCGAATGAAAAGCACCATCAACATTATTATTTCATCCCCCAGGCTAAGTTTTTATTTGAGGAACATGGCCTGACTGAGATTCCTCTGCTTTTTATTAGCATAAAACAAGCATGTTACTGCAGACTTTAAAGTCAAGAGTAATAATTAAATGAGTTAATTTGAGTTATTTTTTAATTAATTTATTTTTAATTTTATGATTTGAGTTGATTTAAAATTATATTTTATAATTTTTTTTATTAAATTATTCTAATTTTATAACTTGTGTAGTAAATTTAATAGATTAACCCGAGTTAACTCGAGTTATTTTTTGGATTTTTTTTAATTTAATTTTATCCTTCACGCAATAAGTTTATTAAAAATTAAATTTCATAATTTATTTTAATTTGTTTATAATAAGGTTATTATGATTTTATAAAATGACACATGAATTAACAAGTTGATTAGAATTGATTTAATATGTTATCATTTTAATATTTATAAAAAAAATAAATCTTAGCAGTGAGTTTAATAAAAAAATTAATATTAATATTTATAAAAAAAATTGTGTTTGTTATTTTATGCCATTAATATGTTTTCATGATGTAATGAAGATGATAAATATGTATATAATGAAAATATATATACGTCGTCACCAAAGGATGATTAAAATAGATGAAGGGAAAAAAATAAAGGAATAAAAATTTGGAAAAGTATGGAGGGTGGGGGCTTACGAGAGGAAATTGAGGATCATATTGCAAATGCAAACCAAACCTTTAAATTTGTCTTTTATTTTCTCCTACTAGGTTAAACCAAAACTTGAACTTTTATTTTTATTTTTATTTTTTTTTAAAAAAGATTGTAATTATTTATTATTGTGATGATAGTTTTTTTTTAATGTTTTTTTTGCTAAAAAAAATATTTTAAAATTTTTTATATCAACACGTCAAAATAATATAAAAAAGTTTACAAAATATATCTTGAAACAAAAAACAAGATTTTAAAAAAATTAAAGTATTTTTTAACAGAAGAAACAAATACATTTTAATGAAATAATTGAAATGGTTGTTCTTATTACCCCCCCCCCCGGTTCTTATGATTACAATCTCAAGAGTAATCCATGATAAAATTTAAAAAAAATCCGAAATTTAATGTTAATAATTGAGTTAGATTCTTCGCAGAAAAAAAAAAGTTGATGAATGAAGCCAAGAAAAAAGTTCACACCTCTCATGGATGCATTTCTATTATTCAAGGAGCTGGCTAAGTGGACACGAATTACGTACACTTGGGTAAATAAGTCTATAATTAATATGAGTTAAATCTTATTTAAAAAAAAAATAGTTACAGTTGTGAGATATTTTCTGATAAATTCTTATTTATGACTGATATAACTCCAATCAAACTGGAGGAATGAATTTCTTAAAGAAAGATAAATGTATCTAATTTTATTATCATGTACAGAAAATAGCTTGATTCCAATACTATTTCAATATAATAACACACGCAAGAGATATTATTATAGATAAATCATCATCTTTACATCATACAAACGCATGATATAATCTTTGAATGGCATGGAACATTGAAGTACAAAATAAGACCTTAATTTCATCGTTTGTCAACCAATTTTAGTTAAAACCGCAATATTGATCACTTTTGCAGCTTCCATTTAGCGTGGACTTAGCTTTGATCAATTCTTCATACTCTCTGAGATGTGACAGTACCACTTCGTTGACCCCTTCTCTCCCGCAGCCAACCATCACTAGAAAATGCACCGAGCTTTTCACACTGCTGTTAGGATCCAGGAAGCTGGGTTTCCCCCCTAGCTAGCATTAACTTTTGAACGCCAAACACCCCAAAATGTCAACTAATGTCTTTGCTTAATTTATTTGGTAGCATCCGTGGAGGACTTAATTCATAAAAAAAAGAGTAGAGGATTTAGGCGGCCATTGAAATAGGTGAGCATCACATTTGTCCATCTACACCTACTCGAACAGAAGGGAAAAAAACGCCAGTTTGGCTGTTCTGCACTATTTCTCTTTCCCTCCCCGCCTCACCTATTTATAGATGCTATCAACTCATGTTGTACACCACACCATCTAAGTTTCAGTTCTATCTAAAGATTCACATCCTTCTCAAGTTGCACTTGAAAGGGAAGATGGCTCGTCTAACACATGCACAGGGACTCATCCTTCTGCTTAGTGCTTCCATGTGGGCAATAAGCATGGCAAGCAGGCAATATGGTTTCAACAGCACTGGTTGGAGTTACAAGCGTCGCCCTTGTCGCCAAAACAGTACAGCTACTACACCCAACAAGATCGTTGTGGGTGGATCTCAAAATTGGACGTTCGGTATCAACTACGCTGATTGGGCTCTCAAAAACGGCCCATTCTACTTCAATGACACTCTAGGTTAGTTTATCACTTCACATAAAACAATGCTATATATTATCTCCTAATCTTGTCAGGATTTCCAAGAATTACCCAGCATCTACGACGCACTGCCATTCAGATTCGGGTCATTTGCAGAGATCCTATTCGAGCAGCACATAGTCGTATATATATTTTTTCATTAAGCCCATGTTTAGGTGGATGGGATTGATTTGTATTTCTTTCATACGAGTGCATTGTTTGCATACTGTATTTACTGACATGATTTATTTGTGCAGTGTTCAAGTATGATCCACCCAGTGACACAAACACCCATCCTCACAGTGTCTACTTGCTACCAAACCTATGGAGCTTCTTAAAATGTGACCTGAGCAGAGCCAAGTTGGTTGCTAGCGAGACACAAGGAGGTGGTGATGGGTTCGAGTTCGTGCTCAAGAGCTGGCAACCTCATTACTTTGCTTGCGGCGGAGGTGCTGGCTTTCACTGTAATAACGGCACCATGAAGTTCTTTGTCATGCCAATGTTTCGTCGTCGGTATTGAATGGAAATCATCCATTAATCGCATGCATTACCACCCGTGTTGTCTTTTTTTTTTTTTTTAACCTTTCTAATTTTTAATATGAGATTTGTGAGATCTAAATAAAATAAGGACAGTGGTGACTATGATGATATACATTGGGATGATGATGAATTGAAAACGATATAGTTTTGTTTGCTCTCTCCTCTCTCTCTCTCTCGTTTATAGTAAATTGTTCCTACTTTTTATACTAAAGGGAAGGGATCATAATTTATACATAGCCAAATTTACAATCATGTTTTGGGGAGGTTTTCACTCAATTAAATCTGTTCTCCATTGCTGCCAATCCAATATTAATTTTATTTGTAATATTTCATTATTGTCTGAATCTAACCAGTTATTGGTCCTAATGCTTAAGAATTGAATACACAACTTTACGAATCGCATTGCCTAACTCCCAAATCACCACCCAACTTGTCATATAAAAATGTACGGAACTTACCAAATTTTCTCTAGCCAACCTTATCGGGCCTCAAAGCCTGTTGAAGTCCGGACAAAGTTTTAATTTAATAAAAAAAAAAAAACCAAATCAGCTGGTCTGGGTACGTGAATATGTTCATAAATATACTTATAGTTATTTTTTAAAATGTTTTTTATTTAAAAATAATATTAAAATAATATTTTTTATTTATAAAAAATCATTTTTGATATCAATATATAAAAATAATCTAAAAATACTAAAAAAATATTAATTTAAAATGAAAAATAATTTCATTTTAAATTTTTTTAAAAAATATCATCAAAGTAAAAAGAAAAAAACAGAAACAAACAGAAAACACGCAAATGAGTTGAGCTTCCTGGTAATAAATCCTCGGAGGATGTGAGAGCGAGAGGAAAGTGACAAGGACAAATCATCGCTTTCTAAACAGCAGAGAAGATTATTAGAATGGAAACAAAGTGAAAATGTTTGCAGTGTCAAGACCAGCATGAGTGCGCGAAACGCAACACCTGTCATTTCTCCTGATCAACAACAAACTCACCAAAACGACAACAGTGCCTCTGAACAAACAACAAGAAGAAGCAGAGAAAATGGCCGCGTTGGTTTTAAAAAACCTAGCAATGTGAATCGGGACGGTCCTCCTCTTGATGACGGCTGCCCTATTTGCTCCGGCACCTGAGATGTTCCTTGCAAAAACACCACCATTTTTATCGGTTTCTATTCCCATTCCAGTTTAAGGACCCTGCAAGTTTAATCGAGTCGAATCCGGCAGTAAAAAAACCCCAGGCCCATTCTTCTTGTAAACTAGATTTTTGTTTCATGTAAATTTAGCAATGTTTGACTTTGGCTTCTATGAAAAAAAATTAATGCGATCTATAGCCATCAAATCAAATAATTAATGGAAGCCAATGAAAATTCCAATTTTTTTATCATATTTTCATTATTTTTTTTTCAAAATTTCTGTCATCTTTTTATCCTAAACTCCCATATATGAGGAATGGTAACAAGGTGTCTCCCCCGGTGTCAAACAGCGCTTGATTTACTTTAATGATACGTCGGGTCTCAGGCCTCACTCTTTCTTTGATCTAAACTAGATATAGATAAATTATTTATATTTTTTTTACAGGTATTTTATTAAATGAGTATTTGAGAGTATAATAATTTTTTTTTGAATGTGTTTAAAAAATATGCTTTATTTTAAAAAAATTAATATTTTTTCAGTGTTTTCTATGATTTTAATAAATTAATATTAAAAATAAAAAATATTTTAATAAATTTTAAAGTGAAAATCAATTTTAAAAATTAGTTTACACCATAATATTAATTGAAAAATATTACAAAGAATAAAACTGACCTTGCTTTGCCCAATTCATTTCTATATGTAATTTGAATTCAACTTGTTCTAGATAATCAGATGTCAAGATGATGGAGGCAGAACTTCATAGCCATTTCTATGAATGAAACAATTACAATCCACAAAGATTCCCAAAAAATCCTAAAAACCTCACAAAATAAAAACTGGCCTCCCATTTAAATTTCCTTAGCTTTGAATAATGAATAGTCACACGATCAAGGTTCATATTGAAACATTTCAAAAATCGCAAACTTAATGTTAGAAAAAAGTTGAACTATGGGGTCTAAAATGTAATATATCTAATTCTACAATAGCTATAAATTAAGTAATGTGTACAGGAATATAGGAATAAGAGTACAGTTTGTTTATTCAAAACAGAAAACATTAACTTGTCGTGACTCTCCTTTTCTTCAGGCGATTCTTACTGTGTTCTAATGTTTGCAGATGATATTAGCTGCTCTCTCTCTCACCTCTCCCTTCAACTTCATTCTTCTGGGTAAGTCGTTTCGAAAACATTATTGCCTGTGCCCCTACTGTTAGTGCTGATTTTCCTGAAGGTAAAGGTTATCGGTAAAATTCACAGATGCTATAATTAAAGGTCACATGCTCCGATAGATAACGTGGAAATATTAGCATGTTAAGATGATTTAATTTGCACTGTTTTTCTTCTATAGAGTGCATTATGCTTTGCAATGTGCAACAGCTAACATTTTCGAGCCGAAATGTTATCCAAAACAATATGCTAATGATGGATCCTCAGGCACAAAAACGTCTTTTATAAAACAAATGGATTAATAGTCGTTGTAGGTGTGACTTTGATGCCTGCCTTAGTTTTTACGGTGATTGTTCAACAGGACGTGATGGAGTTTTCGGATTGCTCTACCTTGGTTTTTTGTTTGTTCAACTACTTGGCTTCTATGGCAGACGACGACTCAAATAATTTGTTAGGGAATTGGATGCTGCTCATGAATCTGTACTAGCATGTTGTCAATACCAGGAGATAATCTTGAAACTGTGTATCCTTTTGGAGTTAGTGTGGTTGAAAATAGTTTCCACACGAATCTTATGGTACTCGTGAATCTTAAGAACTAAGGTGAGAAGTATTTTGACCTGTGCAGCTCTCTTGTGTCAAGCTCGCGAGTTCTGTCTTCTTCATTAAATTACCCTTTGCTTTTTTCTGGAGTTAGTTCTCTCTCTCTCTCTCTCTCACACACATTTTTATTTTCTGATTTCGTTAATCATGATTTCTAAGTATTTGGTCATCCCAAGCAATATCAAATCCCGAGTTCATGTGAGGGTTGTAAGTGAAATCGCAGATGTTTCCAACAGTGTTTGCTTTTATTTTTTATTTTGTTGAAATTAACAATCCATTGTATAGTACAATATTTTTTTTCTGTACTTTTATAGCTGGTTATTCTTGTAGTTATGCTTTTTAAAATATTTTTTTAAATTAATATTTTTATATTTAATGTATTTATGTAAAAAGATTAAAAATAATATATATATTAATTTGATGTATTTTCAAGTATAAATATTTTAAAAGATAATAACTATTATAATATTAAAAAATTATCTTACTTAATTTACATGTATTTTAATGTACATATACCTACATGCAGATATACATCTTCAAAGAAATTGAAGATTTAAAAAAAATACAATAAAAGGTATTTAAAAATATTAAAGGTTGTAGCTTCACTTGTTTTTGTTAGATTTGATTAGTAGAAATTATTAGTTTTAGTTTTATAAATTTTAAGGTAATTGAAAAGTTATATAATTAATAATTTTAAAATTTATGAAATTAGTTAATGTAATTATAAACTAATCTGAATATTTATTTTTAAAAAGAAATTTAAACAAAAAGAATCTTAGTCAAAGTATCAGACCAGATAAAAACTGAACGTCGTGCAGTATACTCGTCCTGGCAGACAAATTATATCATCCATAAGAGTACACGTCGCGGCAACATGAACATGTAAGTTAATTACAACAACACGTCGTTAAATGTTTAAAACCAGCCTGCAAGAAGACTGCCTTCTGCTCCCTCCGTTTTCTCTCTCCTTTCCCTCCTTCGCTCACACGAGTTCAAAAACCCAGAAGAAGAAGTTACAATAATGGGCCCACCAAGCAAGCATGCCCGTACAATATCAGAAGAAACTTTTGATGAACTAGTAAAAGAGAACATAGAAGATCTAGGTATGGACCCCACTGAAGCCCTTGAAGATGCAATCCAGACTCTCACTCTTCAAGGCGTTGATCTTTCTGGTAACAACTCGATCAAGAACCCATATTTTACATTTCCCTTTTTATCCTTTCAAAAAACTATTTTTAACAAAAAGAATCATGGGTTTGTTGCAGGGATTGTGACTAGCGTACCGGGAGAGGGTAATGTGAGGGACAATCCAGTCATTAAGTGTTCGGAGAGATTGGAGGAATTGGGATTTGATAATAATGGTTCGAATGAGATGGCGGGGTTGTTTGATCAGTTGGCTAGATTGTTTAGTGGTGTTGAAGGATCTGGGAATGTTACAATTGGGGTTAGAAATGATGGGGTGGAATTGGTTTGTTCTATTTGTTCTAACATTCCTATTGGTTCTGAGAAAGTTCTTGTTTCAGCTTTGGAAACGTTGGCATTGTTGATTCATGGTATGCGTTTTATCCGGATAGGATAGCGCCGTGTTTTTTTTTTTTTTTTTTTTAGATTGTGGATTTCGAATTTGAAGTGTGATTTATGAGGTGTTTTTTTTTTCCTTTTTTCCTGACAAGGAGTTTTAATTATGTTTCAGCGATTTTACTTAGTTTTATAAACGTTTCAATCTTTGCTTCCAAAGAAAAGTATATGATTCTATACGTGTTCTCTTGACACCTGATGATAATCGTGCTGTGGCATCCCAAGTAAGTAAATGTTTTGACACAAATTTACGCACTTCAGTATGATTGATCAACTTTATGCTTAGTGACTTGCGGGCTGGGCAATAACTTGTGTTGTCAGCGATGTATGTTTTCACATCCAAATATTTATTTACTTCATGTTGATGGAAAAGGTTTTCGTCAAAGCAACTGACTTGCATTAAACTTAAGGTTTATGGTTACGCACGGAGATTTGCCAAAATTGGAATTGCAAGAGCTCTTGTTGAATCACTACGGGCAGGGCTTACCTCACCCAGTTTAGTCTCAGCAAGCATCGCTTTGAAGGCTGTTTCTGTTAATGTAAGTTCACTCACATCTGATGAAATGTCAAAATCCTGTTGCGCTAATTATTAGATTTTTGTGGGTCTAGATATATCATTGCACTTATGATTATATCATATATGAACTTAAGTTGTGGGAAAATCACCTTTATTTATGCACCACATGCACGTCAGGTAGGGTTACAGGAATCTATTTCTTCCATTCCATCTATCTAGCAATGTTCTCTGTTTGATTTTCAGGAACTTCATATATTGTAGAGTCTTACACTCAAAGAATACGATGCTGTTGCATGCTGGATATGAAATATGGTGTTTCTTTGTTCAATTTTGAGGTTGCTCTTCCTCTTCCGCTTCCTATTTTTCCTTTTCTTTTGACCTGCAGGATGAAATATGCAAATCTATCGCTGAAAGTGGTGGCATCGATTTCATTCTGAACAGAGTGCTTACTACACAATTGTAGCTAAGACATGCTGTTCTTTGTTATCCAAGGTACAAGGAAAATCTGGCTCAAAGTTTATGTTTTTCAATTGTTTGGATGAACAGAGTGCTTACTACATTTTGTTTGATTAGCTGGCAGGATGTGATTCAAATAAAAGTGCTATTGTAGAGAAGGACGGTATGAACAAGCTAATCCAACTATCAGCCAGATTTTCTGAAGACCCCCCTGTTCTGCAAGAGGTAGAAAGTGATACTATTGAATGTGCATAACCATTATTCTAGAAACAGAATAATTTTTCTATTCACATGGAATTTTGTGTTAATTCAAGTTTCAAGAAACGCGCGCTGCAAGTTGCACTTGAAGGATTGGCACTCTGAAAAAATTACCTGCCATTTTGACTATGGCACTGTTTAAATTGACGGATCCTGTTTGTCCTTTGATATTATCAATAGTTAGATTAGATACATAGGAGCTATTGACATCTGTTGTAATTTTTCTTATCTTCAAGTCCAATAACTGTTTTATGCAAGATTGGACATTTGTAAGGATTGGAAACATGCATTCATGAGCTGTCCACTGCATTCCTTAACTAAATTTCCACCATGTTTCAGGTTATGTCTGTCTTTACAGTGCTCTGTTTAAGATCTCCAGACAATGCAGCCCGTGCCCTGGAAGCCGGAGCTGGAGACCTTGCCATCCAAGTCATGGAGAAGTTTTCTACTGTGCAACAATTACAGAGGAATTCCTGTCTAATGATCCGTAATCTTGTTGCGAGGAACCCGGAGAACATGCATGTTTTTCTCTCCACGCTTTCTTTTTGTCTTGTAGCACATCAACAGGCAGGCTTTATTTTCTTTTTCTTCCTTCATACTGCTGATCTGACATGCCCCAAAAGTAGGACCACTATATTAAATTGTGGCACACTCTCTCATGTTAGATTAAATTTTGCCACTTTACAGAACTACTCTTCTTAGTCATGGCATCGAGAAATTTATAAGAAGGGCAAAGGTAAACCACGTAACATGCAAGGATGCTGCCACCGATGCTCTGAGGGATTTGGGCCTTGATAACTACAATTCATAGCTCATGCTCAGAAAATTAATGACCTGATGCATATTGGATTATACTCCGGAAGGCTCCATTTGGATTTTGTGTGGGTCAGAATATTGCTAAAATATACTCAGATTTAAGCATGAAGAAGCGCCATCATATTCGAGATTTAATTTTGTGTGTTGTGCTCAAGGAGAATTTTGTGAGACAAAATACGGATATTTCTCCTTGTCTTTCTCTTCCCTCTTATGCCCAAAATCAACAAACTTTCCCGGGGGCTGTTTGTATAACCCATCCCAGATAATCAAGTTTCCATGATTTGTTTGCCAACAAATTGCTGCCTATTGGCTTTGCTCTCCAAGAACTTGTAATTTGATTAATTCAAAATTGAAATGGTGATTGCTTACAGACAAACTGCTTGCAATGTCATCATTATCGGCACTCGCAGCTTGGAATGGAGAATAAACCAGGCTTGGTTTGGTTTGGACTGTAACAAATAGCAACAGGTGATTGTTAATCATGGTAGCAGCATCTACTGCCTCGAGCCGAACCCTGCTTCAATTAAAAGGTGAAATCTGAAAATGAAGCAAAACGGGAATTCTATTACATGGCCATTTGTATTTTGTTTTCATAGGAGTTCTTATTTTTGCAAGGACTATAATTCAGAGGTAAGAAACAACTATAAACTTACAAGAACCAGGTCTAGGAATCAAATAGATACAGTTCAAATTGTTGGAACAAGAAAATGACAGTTCAAATTATAGTTGAGACTTGAGAGCGATACAAAAGCCTTCCCAACTTTCAGTCTTAAAGTAACAATCGAACTGCTTGGAAGAAAAAAGCTCCTGCGAGAGCGATATACGTGCAATGGTCACGATGGATGCAACCATAAGCTCACATTATGCTGCAAGCTTGAACATTATCATCACTGAAAGCATGATTGAGGGAGTTGCTGGCCGAGTGTGGTGGAAGAGGATTAGGGAGAGTTGGCTGCAGCGGCAACCCGGCTTAAATGATTGGAGAGTGAAGATGTAGAAAAATTACTGAGAGAGGTCCAATGTTTTCTGCCATGTGCAACTTCTAAATAAGAGACCAGTCTTTTCTTTTCTTTTTCTTGCATGGTTTTTTTCTACTCAAATAGCCCATACAACTATAAATATAGACTGAGATTCCATAATATTTTCCCATCCATTTCTGCAAACTAGAAATAGTCAAGGAAAGGAGAGATTTCGCACCTAGGATGTAGAAATATTTATATTTAATGCACATTTCTTTCCTTTCCTCTAGCTAACATCTTTCTTTATTTACCTTCACCGGTATCTTTATCCTTTGATTGAAGGGCAAGTCTGTGATTCCCTCAAAATATTTTGGGCTTCAGTTTGATCATCAATTAATACCCGTTGACCTCGGAGTGAAAATCACTCGATTGTCTTCGGATCAGCATTGGGCCTACGATAGATAGATTTCATGAACTCGCCACCACGTTGCTCTGGGGTAGGCATTTCAGATGAACAAACTGGGGGAAGCATTTGCTGTAGTATGATATACCAAGTTCAGGATCGGACACCAAGAAGAAAGAGGCGAAACGAAGGGGCATGGAAAGAGGAAAGACAGACCAGAAAGATTATAGTCCTACAGGTCAATCAATGTTTAATACAGCACTCGATACATATAGAAGCAGCATAAAAAAAATGTCAGTTCATTGGTAAAAGAAGATGGGGGAAAAAAAGAAGACTGGTGAATCATCATTGTTAGAACATGGCAAGATTTATGTCCATAAAAGAGTAAATCATCATTGTTTGCCAGCTGTAAGTTTCACAACAATTTCCATGCAAACTCCAATAAGAATTGGTTCAAGCCTCAAATTTGTACAGTTGCCTTTGATAAAGGCTCCTTTGCTCTATGACAAAACCTGAAAAGTTAGCCGAAATATCAGAGATTGAGACACTTCTGTGAATCAGTGAACATGTATCCACAAGGCTTGAGATGTATATTAATACCTAATATTCCCTCAAGAATAACAGAGTCTGTAAACAAAAAAAGCCTGAACCAGTTCAGTCCATGAAACTAGTAACAAAAGAAATCGAGGGCTTTTGCAATTCAAGGAAACTGCAACCTGTATTTCAAAATATTATCAGTTGGCAATACCCGATAATCAATGTCAAGAATTTCTGAAAGGTAGTACACATACCAATAGGCTACGGTTCTGCAGAAGTACTATCTGAAGTTTTGAACATCTTCTCATATTGCCTTCTCTCCCGATCACGTCTCTCATTAATCTGAAAGAAATTAACTGTTTATGATTGCGACCATTTATTATCACAAAATGTTACAAATTCTGTTAAATCCACCAACCTTCTTCCTAGCAGCATTAAGCTCCCTTTTTATTCCAGCTGAAAAGCATTATAAACCAAAGTTAGCTATCAGCAAATTCCAACGGATTCTTTGTAAAATACCAGTCCAAGACTCCTCAAATTTATTCAGCGTGAATAAATTTGAGTAGGCTATTTTTAAGCATGCTTTAACATAGTCCCTGAAACTAATAATCTTATCAGAGAGCAAACATCTGAACAAAGCTTCAATCCCTAGAACTAACACAGAATCATGTGCCATCGATACTGTTTCAAATTATCACTAACCATCATTTGGCTCCAACTGCAATGCTTTCTTGAAGCTTTCAGCAGCAGCATCAACATCCATGAGAGCCATGTATGCCTGACAGACGCAGAAGAAAAATAACTAACAGTATCAAAAGGTAAATCCTCAAACATTATTCGTTAAACAAATCAAGGGAAAAGGGGGCACCAAAATATTTGAGCAAATTCTTAAAAGTTGAAACCAACATAGCATACAGAAGACAGTGGAAGAAAGCAACCCAGTCAGAATGCCAATGTAACACATTCCAGTGGAATGCAAGATACACGAGAAAATAACTGTAAGGAACTAAGCATGTTTTCCAAATAGAAAGCGGGGAGGCAAACCAGCTTGAAAGCTTCACTTCTCAGAAACAACCTTTTGTACCTCACACCAAACATGTACAGAAGCTCCCATGATTCTGAGATTGAAACTATTCCCAATTGGAGATACTAACCTGTCCCTGGCGAAAAAGAGCTTTAGCATTGTTTTCTCCATCACGTATTGCAAAGTCTGTGTCCACAAGAGCTCCTTTCAGATCCCCCAATTTCAACTTAGAAGCCTACTCACAGAAGATCAAAAGCTTCAGTAGCCAGTGGCGGGAAAAATATCCAGATGATAATGAGAACAAGAACTTACTGCACTGTTGGTGAATATCTGTGAAAACCTTAGTTAGCCAGTGGCGGTAAAAATATCCAGATGATAATGAGAACAAGAACTTACTGCACTGTTGGTGAATATCTGTGACTTCGCCTTCCTCAAAGCTGAACTCTTCTCTGCAAAGCCACCAGAAGAAAAGGTATATAAATACATCAAAATGCAACCGAGTCACTGGGAATAATTAGCATAGCATTAAGAACACCAAGGTTTAAAGGAACTAGAAAGCATATGGACCGCAGAGATCGTGCACCTTCATCAATCCCTTCTTTCTCCCAACAGATATCCAGATAGCGTAAAGCCTTCCGGTACTTTTTTAGCGCCATCTTATAGTCTTGTTTCTGCAACCATTAATTACAAATCAGGTCATCAACACGTGTTAATGAAGAAAATGATAAAGAAAAACAAAAACGTCCATAGACAGTAGAGAATATTAATGGCTTGAAAAAATCAGTTCAACAAAAACCTTCACACCGCACCACTGTATATTGTCAACTAGAGTTCCTGAATTTTCTTTTTTCCTGACAATTGCTATAACAATAAGCTGTACCAATGTGCCCTTGGTGCAAAAAAGAACATCAACCGAACATGAAAACCATTACCTTGAAATGTTCATTTCCAAAAGCCTTAATAGAATCTACAGCGCTCATCCACCATGACAGTTCATTAGGAATCTCGTTAAGGTCAGCTGGCCAATCGGGGTAAGCATCACCATCCTTGAAGAAATTACATATCCCATCATCTGCACCCTCGGGAATCTCTCCACAATCAACAATTATAACATCAGAAGCTGGACAATCAGCATCACCAGTTGTAACATGCTCCATTGAACGAACAACTCCCATTCCTTTAACAACCTTGCCAAAAACAACATGTTTTCCATCCAAATGAGAAGTGCGAGTTGTCGTGATGAAGAACTGTGAACCATTTGTGTTTGGGCCAGCATTGGCCATGGATAACATTCCCTTCCTTTCATGTTTCAGTTCAAAATTCTCGTCCTCAAATTTCAAGCCATAAATAGATTCCCCTCCAGTGCCATCTCCAGCAGAGATATCCCCACCTTGAACCATAAAACCTTTGATAACACGATGAAAACAACATCCCTGATATCCACAAAATAACAAGTAAAATCAACTGCAACAAGCTTAAACTTTCCTTCCCGTAGGCCTTTATAGCCAGTGCTGTGCACATAAAAATACTAACTTCTGTCATATGCAATGGGCAATCAATAAAAAATTCAAGCCTAAAGGTTGCCAAGAAATATTGATTGAGAAAAATGAAGAACAATAATAAGATATCAATACCAAAGCACAAGAACTTTATTTACCACCAGAAAATGAAAAAATAAAACCTCAACCTGAAGCCAGAAAAAAAAGAAGAACAAATAGAAACTGCCTGCCATGGCATTTCCAGTGGTCCAAAACCAGAAACCATCATCGCTGCAGTATCTCGAAATAATGGGAAAAGAATACTTGAAGATTCCTTAGAATCAAGTAATTAAAAAAGGCACAAAGTCACGACTACTACTTCTCTAAACAATCAAGGACAACAATGACTTTTTCATCATTAACTGAAAACCTGACTTCTACCCAGAAAAGCTTCTTTCTTTCTTTCTCACGTCTCAATGACCAGACCCGAAAAGGTTTCGTTTTCAATTCTTAGCATCGCCAACCAAAAGTATAAAAGTGAAACAATCATCACAACAAATACCATGATACCTAACAATATCCAAAATCAAAAGACTTTAGTGCCCTTAAAATTCCCAAAAGTACCATCGGGTTTTAAACAACAAAAGATGTCTTTAATCAAGTACAAGCATAGTTAACACACACCTTGATGTTTGATCACAGATAAAAAAAACAAAACAACAGTAAACACTACCAACCCAAGGGGGACAAGACTGTATTTTCATCAGCCAATCAAAAAACCAACTTGAACCCATCAACACAAACACAAAACATACACAGAATTATTAAAAAGTTGCTAAAGTAAAGCTAATACCTTGTAGTGAAGAGGGGCACCGGTGTTAGGTCCAACGCCTTTCTCACCAGTGCAAAGAGCTCTAAAATTCTCGGCAGTTTTGGGAACAACATCGTTGTAGAGCTCTATTACTATCCTTCCTTCCAACTCACCTCCTATGCTTATGTCTAGGAAACACCTTGACCTCCTCATCTCTCTCCCTATTTTTCTCTCTGTTTTCCTTTTTCTTTGCTTGCTATATATGTAGAAGAGAGAGTTTTGGATTCTAGAGAATTCTTTGCATAGAACGCAGTTAGTGAAACCACCCCAGACTGGTCCCCTTATATAGTAAACAATTCATACAATTAGCACTCCAACTTCATTTCACTCCTTGCAATAAATGAAAACAAAAGGAAAAGAAAATTTTAGACTGCCTGCCTGTCAACGGCATTTTCAGACGTGTCTCTCTCCTTGTTTCTACACAACGTACAGTTTTTTTGGCTATTTTTCTTGTTTTCAAAATTGTTAAAATAATATAATTTAAAGAAATAGTGAAATAATACTGTTTTTACTTGTCACAATTGAACACCGTATTTAAAATTGTTACTATTTAAAAATATAATATTTCAAATAAATTGCTGAATGAACTGCATGAATAAAGACGAGGAGAGAGGGAAAAAAATACATCAAAACTTTGACTATAATAATATAATCATCAGAAAGATTTGGACTAATCTAAAAGGTCATCAGCTAACTGGAGTGAGTCACATTTTTATTGTGCAAAAACGATGGGTGGCTTACTTGCTTTGAGCATTAAGTGTTATTAAATTTATTTTTGTAAAGATTTTTTTAATAATATTAGAGGTCTTGAAATGAGTGTTTTAATTTGTCATTCTAGTTATTTTTCAAATAGTAATATTTCACATGGGATCTCAATGTATAATGTCTAGATAAGAATTAGTTACGTGACTTTTTTTGCTGCTAATTAAATATTTTTATTTTTATTTTTTATTAAAAAAATTATAAATATTTTTTTTTGATGCATTTATATTGTTAGAAGATTTTTTAAGTGAAAATCAAAAAGTTGGTCTATAAATGAAAAAAATAATAAGAATTATGTGTGCTAATAATTTTTTTAAAAAAATCATCAACGCTAAATAAAAATAAAATTGAGAAATTAAATATACATCAATATATTTAATATCACAAGATAAAATATATACCTAGTTGTATTTGCTAAGCCTTATTAATCAAAATATTTTTTTTATTCACTCAAACAACAATAATAATAGATACACATTAAGTTGTTTAAATAATATAAAAGGAAAAAAATATTATGTAAAGTTGCATATATTATAAAAATTATTTAGAATTTTTTTATTTTTTTAAATAAATTTATTTATATAAAAGATTATATATATATATATATATATATGAATAAAAAATAGCTTCAAAGATTAAACACACATAAGTTAATTTAAAGAAATTCCTTGTCTAACAAAGGTTAAATAAGCAAATATAAAAAATAAATGATATTAATTGAAATATAAATTTAAAGAATATTTTAAAAAAGACATATTAATAAAAAGATAAAAAATAATAGCCTTAATATTATAGATTAACTTATCACACCTATAATTAAGATAATGAACTTATAAGGGTTAAATAAATTTTTTTCTCTTTAATTCATACCTAACCTAAATATATGCATACCAGAGAGAGCTAAAAAATAACCTTCACTTGAAAGAATTATAAACAAAATAAAAGATTATTAATCTTAAAGTGAGTAAAAAAAATGGAAAAAATTTAAAAGCATTAGTTTTTTAAAACAAGAAAAAAAATAATTTTTTTTTTAAAAAAAAATATTAGATGCTCTTAGATTTGGCAAGTCAGTCCAACCTATTTAATGTCGTTTGTCCTATTTTTTTGAAAAAAACATTAGATAACATGCCACTTGCTATCACAAATGATTTTTAAAAATCTGTCAACTGTGGTGGTTAAAAATTAAACCATATGGCTTTTTGATACAAAAATTTATTTTCAATAATTTTTTAAACCTAAAAACATACAGAAAAACATTTTAAGAGTTGTGATAAACTTATTTATGACCTCTTGAAACCCAAAAAAATATCTTAACACTTGAAACAAAAAATCTTCCCCAACTTAAATAGTATATTTTTAGGCAATTTTAAGATAAATAACCATATGATATGAACTTATCTCACCAAATAAAATTATTTGATATAAAGATATATTATTTTAAAGATCTAAATCAACGTTAAGAATGTTTCATCTCTCTACATTAGAATGCGGTGACCCCTCTTTTCTCTTTCTTATCTCAAATTAAAAATTGAAACATAATAAAAATAAATTTTTATATCAAAATAAAATTGATAAAATATTAAGGTACCGACCATTTATAGTTTAAAAATATAATGATCAAATCAAACCTTTTTTATTAGCTTTGAAACCATCATCTATTTATAGCTATCTTTTTTTTTTTATTCTCAATCTTTAAATTTCATCATTAAACAATATTTTTCATTCAATTACCATTGAATTTTGCTAAAAAAATGTACTATTATGCAGAAAAAAGTCATGAACTAAATTAAAAAAATAAAAAAAATATTACATGATTTATCCACAATATCGATTGAGGAGATGAACAATATAATTTCCTGTAAGAAAAAACCTGTACCTTCTAGTTTTTTATTTAGGACATATTTTAAATATAATAATAATTATTTTTTAAAATATTTTTCATTCAACAACACAAACATCTCCTGATGAACGGATGCGAAGTACTAAATTATTGTGACTTTGCTTTCCCTGGATAATTAGCGCCGCGGGGGTTTAGGGAGGTTAGGTTCTCGGTCTTCCCTTCGCTTTTGGATACGTCAATTGATATAACTCTACACCAAACACCTTTTGACCTCCCCTTCGTACCTTCGGAGTAGTGAATCAAAAGCAAACTAGCCCAAATCAATTTCATTTTAATCATCGAGTTTTTAATTTTATAGTAATTTTTAAAAAATATTTTTTATTTAAAAATATATTAAAATAATTTTTTGAATATATTTTTTAATTTTTTAATATCATCAAATCAAAACAATAAAAAACTCTAAAAGAATCATTTTGATATTTTTTTAAGTCATGAAAGCCTAAACATGATTTAAAAACGCAAGAATAAACCGTGTCTAAAATGCATATACCAATTTGTACATGAACTGTGTACCTAAAATGAATTAGGAAAATATTTAATTTTCTTACAGGTTAGAATAATCTACCCTTATAAACACTTTGATCCTTTCGATATATATATATATAAAAAAATAAAAATCAATACATCTTAGGTTAGGTGGATCATGATATTCAAACCAATTTACCAGTAACGATCTTAAGAATATTCCTAAAAAACATTTAGAATTAAAGAGGTTAGTTCTCGTGCTATAAGACGATGATAGATGTCACAAAAGCACAAGGCACGGCATCTCCATCTTAGGATTCACCGGAAAAGGAAAGGCATCCTCGGAGGAACCCCACAGTCGAGGAAAATTAAAATAGGAGTGATAATAATAACACCAAGAGCCAAACAAAGGAGGCCCACTCGATCGCTGTGGAAATAATGCATTTTTAATGGTGGTTGAAACTGGCCATGGAATTCCAATTCATTACATAAGCTCTACAGCGTTTCATCGTGTCAGGGTGCCGGAATTCCTTCGATTGCGGGGGCCTTGATAGCGGCCCTGGGTGTGCAATTATTTCTAAAGGTTTTGAAAATTAATTCGTGCCCTGGGGGTGAACGTCAGTGAAATTGATTGATTGATTCGTCATTTTCACAGTTCTCGGTCACAGTTTCTTATAGAGTGGCAGTGTATTTGACGTTTTGGTAACTATAATAGTTTAGAGGAATTTTTATTTAAAAATATATTAAAATAATTTTTTTATTTTAAAAAAATATTTTTGGTATGAATATATCAAAATAATTTTAAAACATATAAAAAATTTATTTTAAATATTGAATTTATTAAAAATTAAAATTTATTATTTATTTTAATTTATTTCCTATAAAATTATCATGATTTTATAATTGAAAATATATATTGATAAATTAATCTAAATAGACCGGAATTAATTCAACATGATATCAGTTCAGTGTTTGCAAAGTTTTTTTATTGTAAATATTCATTTTAAATTAAACTATATTTTATTTTAATTAAACGCTCTAAATAATAGGTGTGAATGTTGCCCACTCCATTGCAAAACAAAAAATCCACCGTGCGGTGAAGTTGATTGATTGATTCGTCATTTTAACAGTTCTCGGTCACAGTTAGTTGTCGGTCACAGTTTCTTATAGCCTGTTAGTTTTAGCGGAATTCCGTTTTTTTTAGTGAATTTTTTAACTTGATATTTTTAATTTTTATAATAAAAATTAACGTGGTAATATTAAAAACAAATTTTAAAAATAAAAAATATATTATTTTTAAATAAAAAATATTTTTCAAACAATAATTATTACTGCAACATCAAATATCAGCACAAGATTACTAAGGATGTCCTATTAGAAACTTCTCAGTATATCAACAAAAAAACTAATAATTAGATTTTACTTTTCTTTCTTCCCAAAATATTATTTGCTATAATAATATTTATTTTATTTTTATTTTTATCTTTTTAATTTTAGATTTATTATAAATTGAGTTTTATAATTTTTTTAATATATTTTTTATGTTGTTGTTTTATTTTTGTGATATGAATTATGAGTTTAACGAGTTAATTTTATTAATTCTATTTTTTAATTTTTTTTTAATATTTTATGATTTGTTTTGAATTGCTCTCTACAAGAATATTCTC